GCTGATTATGGGGGTGTTCTGTGACAACGCGTGGGCATCCTTGCGGGCTGCCCCCTTACTGTCTTCTCCTCACACTGGGATCACATAAGTCAGTAGACCCAGTTCCATCCAGTCCACATCCTAAGGTCTGCCCATGGCTAGGAAAGAAGCAATAAATGTGAATCTCCTTGACCAACACATCCTAACTCCCATATTATGGGATTTAGGAGGAAAAAAGATGATTATTTAAATAGAGTTCTCAGTATTTTTCCAGTGAGAGGCTGCTTTCTGTTTTCACAGATCTGAGCATTGGCCACATGGTTATGATGGAAGGTTCTAATGAAGCTGCCAGCTCTGGTCTTTGAGGCTGCCAGGCTCACCTAGTGCATGGGTTTATGACACTGGTCAAGGCATTTTTCTACTTCCTAAGTATGAAGTAAAAGTGGTTGACAGTAGGTTTCATGCTGTTTGATACTTAGGTGTGTTAATAGATTTTAATCGTCATTCTTCCTGATCCCTCTTTCTTGGCTTGGGGGTTTGAGGTGGCAGTTAACTTGACTACGGTGTTTGTAAATCTCAGCTCAATGACTGTAGACTTCTGTCAGAGAATGCTATTCAGCTGTTGTGTATATTTGATTAACTACTCATTATAATAATAAATCCTACCTCCCCTCACTTATATGCATAACAATTGCCCAAGAAAGCAAGTATCAGGTGACTTGGCACGTGATCAGTTGTACCTTTTAGATTCTCAGCTAGTTCTAGTTGGCTCCTCAGAAAGCCAATAAACACTTGGAAATCATGCTGGTGAGAATGAACAGCTCTCAGGAAAAGGGCAGTTCCTTTGGGACCAGCTCTGTTCTCTTGGAGATATATGTGTCATACTTTTAGATACGAGCTCATAAATAAAGTCTAAGTCATACCAGACCTTGTTCCGAATTGTCCTCTTGTACTTAATCATTCTCCATGTGCTAATTTTAAAATGTGGTTCTGATCTTCTCTGGTACTTCTGGGAAGTTTTTTCTCTATGAAAACAGAACACCGAAAAGAAAAGCACATGATTACTTTCTGGAGTTTTATTTTACTCTTTCATTCCCTGTTCCACAGAGATATCCCCAGACCTCTGGCACAGAAGATTTGACAGTTGTCACTGCATGGACT